ATTTACGAGTGTTAAATGACCAAAGAAAGACTGAGATGTGGTTCAATCTTTCAGGTGGATTATGACGATAAATCCTCAAAGGTTCGGACAGAAATATGTGGGAAAAAGGTACCTAAAAGTTAGTTACTCTAACATGATGTTCACCGTTCTCTCTTGAATGTTGGGTAACTTATGACAAACTCTCCCAAACACTTTCACGTTGAAAATCCGCAGGACATTTTAATCTTCTCCAAGGCTTCTAAGAAGGGTCGGAGCGAAGGTAGGGGCATTTGAGTAGCACAGTTGGACCATGTTATTACGTCCTTGTCTTGTGTGATTTAGTTTCCATCTTCCATTTCACAGCCAACATCGGTGATTCTGAGCGGCAAGAACTGAACCAGCAAAAGATAGAAGCTTTAGTAGCTGGAAGCAACTTGGTACGTCCTGCAACTTGATTCCCCTTATGATTGTGTTACGATCTTCATCCCCCGTAGAATATCATCACAGAATGATACATATAGACTTGAATAGGTTACCTAATAATGGGCTTGATGGGATGATCACTCGGTCCTCTTGCGCAGGAAATGGAGATCTTGTGCTTTCTACTCGTGCGTTCAGTACAATCTTCAAGAGACTCGTGTATGTACTTCTTTATTCATTCAGCATTCAATACTACTAAGTTCTGCGTATGATAGCATTGTTTTTATGATCACATTTTTTGCAAAGGATTCAGATGCGGAGAAATTTGAGGAGGACGACTTGATTCTTAATGTTGGAGAGTGCTTAGAGAGGCAAGAAGATTTAAATTCTGTTACTTTCTATCGCATATTGTTGGGGGAGGAGTACAATATCGATCTGAGTTGCCTTATTTATTTGTGCAGGAACGCTTGAAAGATAGGTCCACTATGTCACATCCGGTTTGTGTTATCGGTATGAACCGGTTTAAATCAAATCACGGTGTAATCTTCCTTTGTCAAACCGACAATGTAAATTTGTTTTTGGCATCCTTCCTTATCCCAAATGCTTTACATCTTTACTCGAAATTCCTAAATATTAAGGTTTTTTTTTATATCCCTTTTCTTCTAATTTAACCCAAATGCATTTTCAATAATTTGTATGATACTGATTTCTCTTCATCGCACCTAAATGTTATTCCCTTTTCTTCTAATTTAACCCAAATGCATTTCTCAATAATTTGTATGATACTGATTTCTCTTCATCGCACCTAAATGTTATTCCCTTTTCTTCTAATTTAACCCAAATGAATTTAGTTTGACAAGTCGAATTCTAGCTACGCAAAACATTGGCATTTGTTTTTCCTTTACAACTCCGATTATGATAATTTAAAAATATGTAGAGATATAGAAGAAATTAAATAGATTTGGTTAGTTAGGACCAGCTACATTGTTGAACTAAAATGTTCGGTAACAAATACTTATCATCATGAGTTTCAGAAGTTGTTCAAGTCTCTTTTGATGCGCATATCCAACACATCGATTATTGGTTCTTTCTTAGTTTTTGTTTTTAGTATTGAATTTTAGATTACCTTTTAAAGAATTATTATGAACTATAACTTGCTTAAATATAATGTGTAACCAAAACAAAACCTTTGTAATATATATTTTTCGGCTTTGTAGTCACTTAAGAGAGTAAGAGATTTGGTCCCAAAGAGTGTATTGGAGTTTCCATTCTAGGTTGCGATTTTGCATTTTGTATAGGTACGTTGTTGTACGAATTGAGATCTTTGTAGTGGTCTTGCGTTAAATCCTTTATTTGTGGATAGCTTGAACATGTTAGTAGGATGGTTTTTTTGTTGTTGTTGTTGCTTAAGTCAGTTTAATAGCAGGATGTTAGAATGTTTACAAACATATCAAATTAATTGATAAAAAGGAATCATGTAAAGACAAAATTAAGAACACATTACACACACAAAAGATGTATAGTGTTGTGTTATGCTACAGGCACTCATTGATTACCCTTCATGTGAGGATGCTCTAAACATTCAAATTATCGATTAATGGAAATCGGAAATGTAAGAGATCACTCACCAGACTTGAGCACAGTCTCTTCCTCATTTTCTAGTAATTGGACCACAAACTGCGGAGTGAACACCGTATCTTTGATTCAACGCCTCGATCCGAAATGATCCTTCCACCCCAAGTAATCCCAATAATCAACGTGGAAAGCAAGAACCATCGCCGGAGATTTATGTATTCAAGATTTGAGATTTGAGACATATATATACATCTTCCAAGCGAGAGCCTCAACCGCAACCGCGGCCGTAGTTCGACACCCAGGAGAATTATAGCGGGCAGTGCGTTTAACTCTTTCGTTGATAAAAGTGTAGCGGAAATGATAAAAGCGTTTCGGCGTCTAGTCCAAACGCTTCCGTGGTCTCGAGCGTTACGACTTACGAGTCCAAAAGCAATATTTGACACTTTAAATGAACACAATCACAAAATCCTTTTTTTTTTTTTTTTTTTTTGATAAAGGTCAATCACAAAATCGTGATGGATTAATTTTAGCCGGGTTTTCGTTAAAAGAATCTGAACCATTTCGGGATTTTTCATTTTATTTATGTTGTTGCTAAGAAGAGTCACACACATGTAGATGATTTTCTTAACTCGATGGCTTCACGACATTGAAATATATCAATATACGTATATCTAATCCATAAATTGGGTTAAAGGTACTTACGGTTTCTCCTTTGGTGAAAATGATAGACTTTATACGGTCGCATATATTCTTAAGCACCAAATCATCCATATGTTGAAACAATGGAACATGGAAAAAATATGCATATACTCTTCCACAATTCGCTAGTTTCTTCTTTATATTTTTTTGTTCTTTAATCAATGGTTAATTGTAATAATTAGTTACTAATGATCAACCTGACCTGCCGGACTAAGTCTAAACAAAGATGGTACTTGATGTCTCTCCTAAGACCTTCTGGAGGTTCTGAACCATCTCACACTCGTCTACACCCCGCATAGCAGCCCATCTCTGCCGCTCGTAGTTGCGGACTCATTGCCTAAACCCTAATGGCAAATGTCTCTTCTTCATCACCACTCTATGTTCCTCATGTTCAGGTGCATTGTGTGCTTCTTTGAAGTTGTTGCGTGCAGAAACATCTTCATTTGTCAATTAGAGACAAATCATAATTCCTTAACTTATCAGATTATTAATTAGACTATTGGCTAATATAAGTACCTTGATGTTACCGATCGAGAAGAAGACCACTTGTTAGAACTATTATATTGAAGACAACCTCGACCACTCTGTTGTGCTCTCCAAATTCCCAAATGTGCTGATTAATTATATAGATATAAAAAATTGATTAAACCTCTTGTATACATAAGAATGTGTATATAATTATTTTATTCGATCCAACATGGTTAGTTTTTTCCTTGTATGACGAGTTAACTCAAATCCACACAAATCAAATTGACAGTTTATTTGAGAGTCATGGGACTCCAAAAGTTTGGGATTTTTTTTTCTCCAACCGGCTTTCATTGCTCACAAATTGAATGGACCATTGATATTTGATAAGCTTGACTCATGTTTCGGTGATGTATCATCTTTGTGTTTGTGATGATTTCTCATGGATAGTCACAGTTATAAAGGAGACAAAAAAAAAGGATGAGTGGAAGCACAAGTGCTCATTGAATGGAGTCAGAGCTTGTACATAACCTTAGTGAGAGGTTTTCAGAGGCGAACACTTGAGGCTATGGGACTTCGCAGATGCCAGTGTGATCAGACTCCAAATCCGTCCATTGGTGTTGTAGATTACGAGCACATCCCAGTCAGGGTCTAACAAACTTGTCGAAGAGCCTGCTTTTTATTAAGTTCTTTAGGGTTTCATCAGTCTTAAAATATTGCTTGGGATTGAAGCAACCGATGAACATCTTCAGATGATATATCATTGGTGGCAGAGAAACAACTGTTTAAGTAAACTAGTTTTGTAAATGTACCTGAAAAGGGAAAGAAACATTGACAGTAAACGAAAATCTGATTCCGGCCAAAGATCGAACCATATATACACAAGTTGTAAGAACGAAGATATCTTTGGGACTTGATGAGAGAGTATAACAGAATTTCTTCAAGAGTTTGATGGTTCATTTCTTGAGGTAATTTGAGGATGAGAGATATAATTGTTCAACTATTCAAATGTCAAAGTTTCAAAAGACTCTCTGTTTTATTCTTCACTATTTCTTAAATTTAATACACACGTCAGAGAGTGGGGAGAAGATACTAAATGAAATTGCTCAAAGAGATCAGAAGTGACTAAACCTTAAATATGGTTTAAATGATAAAAGGTAAGTAAAGACTTCAAAATTAGCTGATTCTAATGTGGAAGAAAACAGTTTGTATGAGAACAAATCAAATAATGAGTCTCATAGATATTCATGAGTCTTGACTCTTGACCTTGAATTCTTCCAGCTTGTATCTATAAATTTGTGCTTTTACACCTTTATTTTGGACTTGTAATTAATAGTAACGTGGAAAAGGCATACAATACTAGAGCATACAAGGATCGTTAGATAATCTCTATGCAGATGTGAAAAAGAAGTCTCTTCTTGTCATTCTTAATTCGTAGTCACACCAACAACATTAACGGGTAACAGTGAGATCTACTGAAGATATAAAAACTAAATTTTAATTTGTGGGTGCATGACACTCGACTCAATTCCATGCACTAACGCTATTCCATATTTTGAAGTGGAATAAAGAAAGGCGCCGACCATCTAAAACATTCACTAACGATGTATGATATGAGATTGATACTTGCGTCTTCGACGGAATCCACGAATTGGACGCAGTTAGAGGACATGCCAGGGAAGGAGCTCGCAGGGACACAGAAAGGTTCAGACATTGAGATGAAGATGCAGAGATCTCCAATGTCTTGAGTGTAAACCGCGTTTCCTTCATCATCTAGCCTGAACACCATTACAGCTCTCGTTTTCATATACACCGCCGCACCTCTAGTGGTGGCCATCCTGTAAAACTTAACCAAGAAAGTCTCACCGGTGGATGTTGACTCGACCAAGTGTTCCTCCAGATCCGAGAATGCGAAACGTGTCATGTTTCTTGGAGAACATGACTCGGGAGGAGTAGAAGCAAGGGTTTTCGATCCTGATGTTTCTCCACTCCGGTTTGTTAGCGGGTCTGCAAAAGCTGATCTGGGGTCCCAAGAACTTGACAGCCACGACACAGTCTTCATCCTCTGGAGAAGAAGAGGACATGGCCACGTTGGTGACGATATGGGTTTGGCAATGAGGCAGAGTCACAAGAGGAGGCAGAGGGATGCGTTTCGGGTCTGTATCGGACGCATAAGGGTTGAGATCGTCTTGGAGACGCAGGATCCCGTCGTCCTTGAGAGTAGCTACCCATCCATGAGATGCCCCGATCGTTATCCTCTCATCAGGATCAACAATCTCGAGGGGCACCTTCTTTTCCAAATAAGTGAAACGAGATTCATTAGCATTCATAATCACGAGTTTCCCGAGATACTCATCCTCATCGTCTCCACATGGATGAGCGGTGAGGGTCCGACAAGGAGGGGTTTGCAGCAAAGAAGAAGAGAAGCCATTAGAGAGGAGAAGAAGAGATGATCTTCTCACCAAATCGGGTTTCCCAACGCAGAGCTTCGATAGCCGGCTGAGAAGCAGAGACATAGGTAGAAATGTTGTCAAATGAAAAGCAAGATTATTCCTAAATTAAACAAGTTCAATAATTGATGAATTGAGCAATCTTCTTCACCACAAAAAAAGCCACCATATTAATACAGTGGAAACTGGAAAGACCTTACCCTTGCCCACCAAGTTTTTTTTATTTAGTCAAATATTCGATATTTTTACGAGTTTATTTGTCAAGCAAATATGGATAACAAAATATTGCTGAAACCAGCTGTTTTAATTGTTTGCAAAAAAAGGGAAAAGGAATTGATATTTGTCTCGTGCCGTAAAACGACTTCGCATACATATGAATATCGCAGTGTAATAAAACCCTACCCTTGCCCACCCATGTTTTCCATATTAATACAGTGTAATTACCTTACCCTTGCCCACCCATTCACCAAGTTTTTATTAGTCAAATATTCGATTTTTACGAGTTTATTTTTCAATTAAATATGGAAAACAAAATCTTGCTAAAAGCCTAAAACAGCTGTTTTAATTGTTTGCACAAAAGAAAAAAAGAATTGGTATTTGTCCCGTGCCGCAAAACGACGTCGCTGTCGCTGCTACTAAACAAAAAGTTGGTGAAAAGTCTCTCTACTAAACAAAGTTGGTGAATGTCTCTCTAATAACATAGGATACACAAAAAGTCTTAGTTATTAACGAAACGAAAAACATACACTAACAATAACAATTTTGTATTAAATTAAGAACTTAAATGTAGAATATCAAAGGCATTTACCGATAAATAAAACCCTACTAACTTGAGCCTTGGACCATAACTATATTATAAAGCCCAAATAGCAACGATGCCGAGGGAGGGGATAATTAGCAATTTGATATCACGAAACAACACTTTCAAGCGCAGATTTAGGTGAGCTCTAATGTCTCTATTCAGATATGTATTTGAATCGAAACATTTTAATAAGCAATGGAATTCTCAAACGAACGAACAAAAAATGGTTACGCCAAGCTTCGCAATTAAACCACGATATCAGTTGATTTATGAACTATGAAGTCATTATATTGCTCTGCCTCTTCGTTAACACAATTTATATGCTTACATCAAATTGACAGTTTAATAACTAAACCGGCTATGATGTGAAATACCAGAGATTCATGAGGCCCCAAAAAATTGGGAAAAGTATTTTCTCCAACCGACTTTCATTGCTCACAAGTTGAATGGACCATCTCGGTGGTGCCATAGTACAGTACTGATTCCTTACACGATAATATCTTTAGGTCGCATCCCATCTAAGGTTCTAAACTTCTAGCTAAAATTGCCAAGACCTAACATGCAACAGCTTTTGGACGCCGTCTCTTAGTAATTGACTACTCTGAAGAGAGCCTCTCACTACGAACAACATTCTATGCACTGCATCTCCTTCTTTCTGGATCTGTATGCAGTTTCAAGCATTTTTACTTGTGTGTTCATCTTTGAGAGATTTCTTGGATCCCAAGTTAACACTAAAATTTCTTGATGGTGTTTTATCAGTTACTTATTTATTTATCAATTATTACTTATCCCTTGTTAAGACATTTCGCTGATCTTGGGACCAACATGCTCCTGCTCTCTGTTGTTCATTAACATATAAGTGAGAGATTATGAATACATATGGTACTTGAATACATATTCAACACAAAGCATATAGGTAGATAGCTAGGCTTTCTCAAATCGATGGGAGTTTTACATAGACGAATATCACAATCTACAACTAGGCTTAAACAGTTGAAATTGGTATCTGAATATCATTGAAAGTTTAATCCGCAATGAAATAACATATTTACATATATATACTAAGCAGGAAAAAGCATGCATTTTAAAAAAAAAAAACTTGCATGGGCCGCGACGAAATAAGCGATCATGTTGAGTGCAATTCCCCGCGAGACAGTGCCAAAGATGTAACCGGAGAGTGTAGCATTTTGTCGGAGATGGCGAGCGGAATGATATATTTTCGGTAGATATTGAAAGAGGAATGTTATAAGCAAAACTGACACCACTAAAGTCACGGAGCCTCTCTTCATAAGAGAAGGTATCACCACCCACAAAGACAACCTACTCTCTCTCTCTTTTTTTTTATTCTAACAAAAACACAAAAATGTACCGATTATGTTTTTCACGAAGAGTAGATGGAAACTGAGCTTTCGAGGACTATGCAGAGAATTTACTTTGACAAGTCGAATTCTAGCTACGTAAAACATTGGCATTTTCTTTTTTCCTTTACAATTCCGATTATGATAATTTTAAAATATGTAGCGATATAGAAGAAATTAAATAGATTTGGTTAGTTAGGACCAGCTACATTATTGAACTAGAATGTTCGGTAACAAATACTTATCATCATGAGTTTCAGCTTTTGATGCGCATCCACGTGGTCCAACACATCAATTGGTTCTTTCTTAGTTTTTGTGTTAGTCTAAAATTTTTGATTACCTTTTAAATAATGATTATGAACTAACTTGCTTAAATGGTAACCAAACAAAACCTTTGTAATTTATATTTTTCGGCTTTGTAGTCACTTAAGAGCTAGATTGTGATTTTGAATTTTGTATAACTGTATAAGCCCGTGTTGTACGAATTGAGATTTTTGTAGTGGCCTTGCATTAAATCCTTTATTTGTGGATAGCTTGAACATCTTAGTATAGGATGTTTTTTTTCTGTGTGTTGCCTAAGTCAGTTTAGTAGGATGTTAGAATTTTTACAAACATATCAAATTAATTGATAAAAAGGAATCTTGTAAAGACAAAATTAAGAACACATTACACACACAAAAGATGTAGTGTTGTGTTATGCTACAAGCACTCATTCATCTCTTGCATTCAAATCGGAAATGTAAGAGATCACTCACCTCACTTGAGCACAGTCTCTTCCTCATTTTCTAGTAATATTGGACCATAAACTGCGGAGTGAGCACCGTATCTTTGATTCAACGCCTCGATCCAAAAAACAATGAATATACTCTTCCACAATTAGCTAATTTCTTCTTTATATTTTTTTTTCTTAAATCAATAATTAACCGTAATAATTAGGTATCATTATTAATTACTAGGTATTTATCCGCGCTACGCTGCGAGATAATTTTCTAAATTTTGTATATATTTTAAATATAATAAAATTATTTTTATAATATAAATGAGTATTATATTTATTTTTTATTAGCTTAAGTTATGTATTTATATGTTTTAAATCTGAATAAACATTATATACTTTTTTTCAAAATTACAATTTACTATTAAATTTAGTTAGCTAACGAATAATAAATGTATATATAGGAATAAAATATATAAGAATACAGTAAAGCAATACATTTTTAGTACCTTCATGCTAATGGCAAATGTAATATATTTTCTTCAATAAATTGCCATACGATCCTCCTTTGTAATTATCTAAAGCAAAATACCATTTAAAAGAAGATTTCTTAATTAATATGATTATTTTGAATTATAAAATTTATTAATTTATCAAATATTTTATTATAAACATATGTTTCTAAAACTACCAAACTATAATCAATAACATTCATATCAAAACCATATCAAAACCATTGCTATTGTTTTAGAACTAAATAGAAATTATGTTTGAACTCTTAAAATATCGTTTTAGTTAAAGTTAAATAATTAAATTTTGGTTACTGTAAACATACTTTAACATGGAAATTTTAGCATAGAGAAATTTCATCTTCTTACAAAAATCGAGAAATCGTATTTCCCGTCAAAACAAAAAAACTTCATTTTCTCATTAAACTGAGAAATCGGCTATTCCCGCCAAAACCAAAAAATTCATTTTTTCGTCAAACCTAAAACCTAAAATTTTATTTTCCTGCGAGAATCTGTATTTTTCCACTAAAGCCGAGAAATTATGTTTATTTCACAAAAACCAAAAAATTTCTATCTTCTTGCAAAAACCAAAAAAAAAATTTTATTTTCCCGCCAAAATCGAAAAAATTATTTTTCCTGAGAAATCGTCCTGCCAAAACAAAACAAAAAAATCATTTTTTCGTCAAGCCCAGAATCACGCTTTTCTACAAATACAAATAAAATACAATTTTTCACGAAAACCAAAAACTGCATTATCTCCCGTGAAATTGTGTTTTTCTGCGAAAACTAAAAAATTGTTATGTTTTTATCGGTTCAAATTTTTGTTGATGTGTGAGCTTTTTATAACATAAAACTTTTTGCGTTGTTGTCATGGAAGCATAGTTGATGTTGAGCGTACACTTTTTCAATCATAAACGTCTATGTCAAACAAACAAATAGATAGAATTTTTTTTATTATTTGGATTTGGTTTTGAAAAAAAAAAACAATGATTTAATTTTTTTATTTGTTTTTATTTATTATTTGGGTTTGGATTTGGTAAAAAATAAAATAATGATTTTTTTTTAATTGCTGGTATTAATTATTTGGGCTTGAGTTTCGTAACAATTAAAACAAAAATTTATAGAAAAAATATTTGGATTTTTAATAGGTTTAAGTTTAAAAATTAAAATAAGTAGATGAGATGTATAATAAAATGTTTTGATTAGTGATTATTTTTTCTGAGGTGTCATGTTTATAAAGCTTCAAAAAGCTGATGTGTCAAGCTATGAAGAGACTTTAGTGTTAGGAGAATTGCTGAATATGACTCAAAACTTGAGTTGAAATGCAAAACTAGACCCCATATTGCATGTTTGACAAAAATAACTTACAGGAGTAGTGAAATTACAACTTTAACCCTTATGACCAAACAAAAAAATGCCAACCTCAATTACTATTTTATCCCAGAGAAGTCTACTCGAGAAGTTAAGTAGACTTTTCGAGTAGACTTCTAGAAGTCTACTCTTTAATAATATGTTTACAATTAATTTTAAAAATCATAAAATATATTTTAATAAAAAAAATTAGATACATAACAATAAATATATACTTTTTACACTTATTAAAAATAAAATTTGACAGAAAATAATCAATTTAAATCATCATAGATAAATTAGGATAAAAATCAATACTAAGAGACTTCTCG